TTTTTCAAAAACTCAAATCTAGTTTTTTTTGGCTAATTAATTAAAAATGGGTTTTCTTTTAATCTTCTATCTTAAACAAAACCGCGAAACCGCTAAAAAAAAAAAAAAAAAAAAAAAAAAAAAAAAATGAAAAAACAAAAACAAAATATCCTCTAATTTTTTTCTACTAAATATTTTTAAAAACAACTATGTCTATCATCATCCATCACTCATTTGAAAACAAAGAATTAACCTCTTTTGACTGAAATTAAGTTTGATATAGATGACAATTTTATTTGACATGTAGATATTTGATCTTTAATATTAAACAAGTGTTTATATTTTGATAAGGTCGTCTATTTTTAGCTTCATCATAACAAGAAAAAAAAATCGTCATAGATTAAACGATTCGAAAATAATTTGTTATAAAAACTACATAAGAATGAGTACTATCTCTACTGGAAGGTAAACATAGAAAACGTATTTTTCAGAAAATATGTTTGTACAGCTATTTGAAAATGATGAAAAATTATTGACTATTTCTTTGAACTACAATCAAATAATTTCTAGTAGAATAAATGATTTAGAAATTTATCATTTTTACTCACTACTATTGACAAAAATGTCGATACTACTATTTCGTTTAGAATTGTGAAAAATCTATTCTAGAAGTTATTTTTCTGTTCAGAAATAACAAAAAAAAAAAAAAAATTGTTTTTCGACTTTGATCAGTGAGTACACGATAAATTTTCTTTCGTAAACATTTTTTTTTTTTTGTTTTTAATTGAAATATATTTTTATAAAATGTTTTAGAATGGTGTTTGTTCGCGAGAACAACCGTAAGTTTTATTATTAGAAACAAAGATGAAGATAAAACTCTACGTTTGAAAAACAGTGTACTATAAAACACTTTCTATTTTTATTTCATTCTCTAAACACATGTATATAAATGTAAAACATACTATTTTAATAGTATTCATTTTACTCAAGTTATGTACAGGTGTATAGACTGATCTGATAAAGTGGCATTATTTTAAATAAATTGTTTAAACCTAATGTGACACATTCTCCATTGTAATCATAACAAAACAAAACAAAAAAAAAAATGGAGATGGAAAGAACAATAGTGAGAACAAATAAAATTAACAAAGTCTCTTAATGATAATGTCTGTAGGGTTATTCATGAACCGAACATTGGAATAAATAATTTCTTAACTATTTTCTATTCTTCTTCTTCTTATTATTATTATTGAGAGGTAGTCGTTGTCATCTACCTCAATTGTTTTCTATTCATTACTGGAATTTATAATTAATGGACCATATGGGGAGGAACACTTTTAAATCAAAATACATTAAAAATAAATATTAATTATTTACTCATACTACTGATTTAAAGATTATAATTGATATTCGTCATAAAAAAAAAAACATGATTTTCAACGAACTATATTTCCTAATATTAGTTAATTTAATCATTTCAAATAATAGAAAAATTTTTTTTAAAGAAAATCGCATACCTGTACTTTTTAGTTTAGTTAAAATACCCATTGTAGAATTTACTATTTGTCGGTCTTAAACTATTTAAATTGATCTATTGACTGTAACCTGTTCATACACTTACTACTATCAAGACATAAATTGCAAATGATAGTGTCAAAGATGAGTTACGTATGATCAATGATTTAATCTATAATCAAATAGAGTACAATAATTTTCCTTTCATTCTCCAGTGGATTTTATTTATTGGGGTTAAAATTTATGTTGTATTTTCATCATTATCCATCCCCATTATTATCTCATTTGTTTTAGAAAACTTATAATAACAAAAATACTAAGGTTCTTTTTCTTCTTCTCATGTAATTAAATTCAAATTTATGTATGTAGATTATCACTTTATGAGAGACAAAAGAGATCATTTGTTTTTTAAATTGACATTTTACGTACACATTCACATCTATTTTCTCTCAATTAAATACATACCGTTTAATTTTTCAATGGCTTGTGTACTGTTCAATATTTTACTATGATGAATATTCTTTAAAATATTTTGTAGACATTGAATATTTGTTTCACATGTACGTAATACTTCATCCTTAAAATAAAATAAAAAATATAGAATTAAAAATATTTTGATTAAATTTTATTTATACTTACATATTTTTTAAGATTATTTTCATTTGTATAAAATGTAGCAGTTGAATTATTTAATTTTCGTTTATCTAAACTTTGTCGTGCTTTTATCAATTGTTTTTCAGTTTCATTTAGTACATAATTAAAATCTTCAAGATCTGAATCTGAATCAAAATTATAATGTTTATCTAATGAATAACCATTTAATGGACGTTCAGAATCATTGACACCATCCTAAAAATAATTAATTCAAATATTTTCATATCGAAAAATATCAATAATAAGCAATAGTTTTTAAGTATCTAAATTCTCAAATTGATTTTAAGAAATAATATATTACAGTATTACTAAAAATCTTATAAAATATTCTCGAATAGCAGATAGGATATACTTGTTTCTAACAGTAAAAAAAAAAAACCCCACAAATCAAAGAATTTTCTTCTACACTATCATGATCTTTTTCTGATCAGAACAATTATACAGTCTAATCTACTCCTTTACTAATCATATATTTACAATTGACATACTTGAAAAAAGAAACAGTACAATTAACGTTTTATGTTTAAATCTTCGTCACACATATGAAAAGAAAATCAATGGTAAACATCTTAATTTCACAACAGGTGGTCGACAAAATAAAGAAAATTTTTCAATGAAAATTGTATGATGCTGAGTACACAAACACTTTCTCTACGTTGTTTTTAGATTATTCATCAATTATCACCTCACAACGCAATAAATAAAATAAAATTATTAGTAAAATAAGCTTAACATTAATAGTTCTATTAAAAAAATACGATAATTACTAGATCAAAACACAAATTCTTTTTGTTATTTTGATTTTTGTTTCTATATTTTTTACCGTTAAAATAAAGTAAAATCAAGGTATACCTTCAAAAAAGGCATATGTCACATCGTATCTGATTATAAGAAAAAATTTTAGATAGATAAACAACATATTTTGTTTACAAAAATGGTTACTGATTAATCTTGGATCTTCCGAATCAGTTCTTGCACATCGTAGGATATTTTCAAGTAAAAAAAAAGAATAAGCAAAGCCTTGAATCTAACGAAAGTGTTGATAACAACGTGTCATCGATGAATGAAGATAAATTTTTTAAATTATCTCAAGTGAAGGCTGATTTAGATACGTAAAAAAAAAGTAGCTTACGAAATGAACCATGTGAATCAAAATAGTGGTCATCAATAAATTAAAAACTCAACAGTATATTGAGATCCTGCCTTAATGATCTGGAAATGATAAAAAAAAATTGTGACATAGACACAATCGATGAACATTCAATGCATTTAAAATACAAATATTCTTATTTCTTTCTCGTTACGTGACATAAATGCCTAAAAGTCAAGACGGATTAGAATCATGATCATGAAAAAATAATGATTTTCATAGGTGTTTAATAGTACACCCTAATTTTCTATCAGTCGTCTTTCATATCTGAGATGAAAAATTAGCCATTTTCATCATTTGTACCAAAAACAACACACAATCAAATAAAATGTGTCGTCTATCAAATAGAGACATAAACAGAAATGAAAAGTAGCTAAGTTTGAAAAGTTTGTGTCTCTTTGTCGGCAATATTCATTAAATTTTACAATGATGATAATAAAACAATGGGACAACAAAAGAAAGAATGGATGATTGTTGAAGCTAGCGTGACGAACAAAACAAACGCATAATTTGTATAATAAAAAGTAATAAGAGGGGGATCATATTTAATATGCCTTCTGGATATTTTTTGATCATTATTATAAAGGTAAAAGAGAGCGATAGAGGGTAAGGGTGAGAGAGAGAGAGAGATGAACGATTAATGATAATTGCTCTTTATACAACAACGAAATATTGAGAAAGTTTTGTTGAAAGGCCAATTTCCCACTTTATCACCTTGAACAGACCACAAACGCTAATAATGTTCACTATCACTCTGCACCACTATACACTAGTTAATTGAGTACAGATAGTATTCAACTAATGGAGCAATAGTTGAAAGATTCTGTTCACAGCTTTTTTATAGAATCAAATGCGAAAAAATTGAAGTTTATTTCGCTTGAGAGAATTAAAAGGTCAATAATGTGATCTTCTTCAGTTCACTTACCTCAATCCCGTTTGAACTTTGTATTTTTACTTTATGAAAAAAAGGAAGTAGAATAATGACACCTAAATTCTCATTGTCAGTGTATTGATGCAGATGCATCATTTGTCTATATATATGAAGAGTAAAAAAAGTGCTGGACATACACACACACACACACACATACACTTAAAACAAAACAACTTTATGTCGCTCTCTTATTTTCTCTTTACTTTTATAATAACACACAATATGGAGATGATTTACTCTATGTTAGAGATGTCGGATAATATATTAAATCATAAAAATGGAATTTCCCTTATCTATTCGTCGTATCGTTTTGTTAAAAATCATTATTAACGTTGTTGTGTTATAGATCAAAATCCATTTCATTATTGTTAGTTTTTTGTAAAATAGATTAACATCCTACTTGAAATAATGTTTTTTGTTAAATATCTGTTCATCTAATCGTCAAAAATAGAAATAATTATATGGACAGATAGTTAGAGCGTTTTATAACACATGTGAGAAACGTTAAAGATATATATGTGAATATGCTGTAAAATGATATCTTTGTTGATAGAAAAATTGAAAATGAATTATGTGCTCTATGTACTTGAATGTTAATAAACATATCTTAGAAAAAATAAAATAAACAACTATAGCTACTGTTCAAAAAGAAAAAAAAGAGATGAGAGAGATAGAAAGAAAATGAATTTTTCTTAAAAGATTAAACAGATGTGAATTGATAATTCACAGAAAAAGGGAAAATGTGTTTCACTGTAAAAGAAAAAGCGTATATGACCTCTTCAGACTCTTGAACAAAAGATTGAATAGGATCGTTAGTATAGTTATAATAAAAAAAGTTTTCCATTGACCTTATACGAAAAAATTACAATCATTTACTAACCTTTTTCTATGATAACAGAATCCTTGAAATTTATTGAAATAGAACAAGAAAGACCTTGTTACCATTCAGAACAAGTGAAATAGTAAAACAAAAGATGATTCAGGTCAAATATCTAAATTTTGCAACTAATAATGCAATAAAGAAGTTTGAAGTTGATACTGTACTATTTCAGAAAACGTGGTTATATACGAGTGAGTATTTTTTAACTGTACATAAACCATCTGTTGTTTTTTTCTGATAATAAAAGATATTAACCGTTTTTGTCCTATCCAAAACACATTTCCTTTGTATTACGTATAAAATGAGATATTTACATCATATACTAAAACAAAAACACTTGAGAACTACTCAGTGGGACACTGTTACCAATCGATATTAACCAAAAAAAGTTATTGTACGTGTTCCTAATGGTGGGTACATAACCATCTCGAAATGCCAGTGGCATTTGAAAGTATGCATTAACAACAAATTAGAAACGTTTATTTGTATAGTAAAGCAAAAAAATCAAAAGTGTCAATAATAGTTGGTTTATGCAATACAATTTAGAACTTCAAACATATTATAAAAATTGTTCATAGAATAATAGTCAATGTAGATTTTTTTTCTTTCTCGATTAGTTAACAAAACGAAACATTTATTTCTGATAATTTTCAACCTGATAAAAGACGGTTAGTGTAGATAAACAGATGTTTACAGGTTAAAAAAGTTTTGCGGCATAATTCTATTTGATATTGCTGACATATGTGACAATCACCAGGATATGATAAATTAAGTTAGAAACGAATCAATGAACCGAATGCTTACAGTTATATGCCACATGTATTTAAAGATATATATGTGTGTGTGTGTGAGTGATCGCTATCAGCTAATAAAAACTAGAGTAACAACATTGGTAATCAACCTCATCACCCATCATCTACTTTCTATTGTCACGCCTAATTGAACTTTATAAATAAGAAAAAAGGTTTATGAACTAAATTCTCTTTTTTCTCGATATAAATATATACTCTCTATAAATCAATAACCTTTCAATGCAGGTGCATTGCGTAAAGATATTATGTAAAACAAGATTAAAAAGCACATCGGGAAATCATTTAAAATGATTTATGTAGCCTGTAAGCATATACCATGTGTAAAACTTCATAAAAAGAAAAAAAAAATAAGCATTCTATTTAGGGTGTTAAAAGCATTGTATTAGATCGTTTAAAAAAATCAACTATGAGATTTTCTCTCAAAAATCAGACTTACCGTATACAAGATATAAGCAAGTTTAACTGTCCACTTATCAATATCAACGAACCACATAGGAAGATAAAATAGATGACATTCAAATAGACTATTTTTTTGTTTATGATGATAGAAAAAAAATATTATCGGTAAATAATAAGAATCGGTAGCGATTATGATGGGTGATAACGAAAAAAAATATATACGAATAGATTTTGTTTTTTCTGTAATTCTTTTTTGACTATTATAACGATTTAATACTTGTTCGTGTTTATGCCGGACATACACAGATAGACCGAACTAGCTTTAGAAGAAATCGACGTTTTTTTCTGGTGATTCATGTAATAAAAAAAAACGGAAGGAATAGTAAAAAGAAAAGAACAGGAAACGTAAAAAGAAATCTATTTTTTCCGATAAAAAAAATCTACACGCAGTCGTATATTTGAGAAATGTAGTGAGTGAAAAAAAAAACAAGTTACAAGGACTTGTGCGTGTGTAACATAAACAAGAGAAGAGAAGAGAAGAGAAGAGAAGAGAAGAGAAGAGAAGAGAAGAGAAGAGAAGAGAAGAGAAGAGAAGAGAAGAGAAGAGAAGAGAAGAGAAGAGAAGAGAAGAGAAGAGGAGAAGAAGAAAAAAAATATCTGTCGTTAGAACAAAGAAATGAAAAGGTAGAAGTCAATGAAAAATATGCTGTTATTGCTGTTTTATGGAAGATTGAAAAAATAATAGTATTGTCAGTATATTATAGAGAGAGAGCGAAAAAAAAGAAGAATGATGATGAACGCATCTTCTAATGATTGTTCAAATGTGCTTTTCCTACTAGTATTGTGTCTGACATATCCAGCTATCTATCTTCATCGAGAAAAGAAGAAATGAAATGGTCCTTGTCAGAAAAAAGACAAAAGAAAGAAAATAAATGAAGTCTGAAAGTATCGATATAGAGAGATGAACATAGACATATGATGAGAAAGCTATCTACATGTTTTGATGAAACAAAAAAAAAAATGAAACTACAACGGTAGAATGACAGATAGACTGTACTAAAATAAACTACTAAAAAAAACATCAATAAATATCCATTAAACTATCCATGGTCTATATATTCAACCTCAAGATATATATATATATATAAATAGATATTATCACGCTTAGAGAGCGTAAGAAGATGTAATTAATTCTCAATTTGTACACTCTAATCATCCAACAGTATACGTGTCTATAATCGACTAAAAATAAGAAATTTTCCGCTTCGAATTGACCTAATACCAAAGTCTGGGTATACATCTATTATGAAAGATTTGTTTTAATGAAAAAATCAATTCATGATGTACTTTAAATTTCCTTTTTGTACATATGAAATGGCAGTTTCAGAATGAATAATGCATCCGGAAATACACTAGATAAGAATGAAAAATGAATGATTTTTATTTCATCGCTAACATATTCAATACCAAGAGGTATTTTATTGCGTGATGACCTTAAAAAAAATCGTGAATATTAATGATCTTTAAATATTGGCTTTTTTTTACAAAATCACTTTCCTGATCCCGTTGTCCTGGAACTACTGTTCACAAGGCTAAAGAATCAAACAGAATTATAGTGAAATTTTCTATCAAAATATGAAAAAATGACTCCTTTTTATTAGAGATTTTTTTGTGCGGTGTGATCGGATGCATTTTTTTCTATGTTTTCATTTCTGATTTTCTCCTTTTTATAGATGAATTTTCTGAGTCTATGAACGTGTTAACAACTTCATAAACAGCTTCCAACTTCATCACTTAACATTCGCCATCGATTGATACTTTTTCAACACAACTCATCTCTAATAAATGACTTATGGGTCCCCATATTAGTCTTGGTCCAGTTAGAGTATCATAAAGAATCTCGAAAAAGTTGACTACTCATCCAGCTAGCATCGCTTACATCGTGATTAGTTACCGAAATTAAACTAATACAAATTCAGATAGATATCACGACATTAGTAATAACGTTAGAAATAAGAAATTTCATAATAAAAGCTATGAAGATTTCCATGTACGGTGGGACTAAGCTACTAGAAAGCGATATCTGTTGGTCATCAAGTAAGCAGTACTGTTACAAGAAAAAAATTCCGGAGTGATGCAAGTTTTTGAAGAGAAAAAAGTTGTTTGCAGAATGTTCTTTCTCTTAGTTATTTCAAATCTTCAGAGTACGCGGAGTTTTTTTATTCAGGTATGCCTTAAAAGATTCAGAGGATTTAGAGAGAGTAAAAAGTCAGAAATCAGGAGGGAAACCCCTTCATACCTTCCTATCATTGTGAGAATGCAATTAAGCGTTAATTTGTCGGTCGAATAGTCAACATCATCACCAAATTTGTTACACTGTCAATTAATTATTTTGATGATGAGTACCACTGACTGATTTTATCGCTGTAGAAGATCCATGCTTCATAGAATGAGACTTTTTCATTTTTGATTTCATTTACCATACGTTATATTTACGCGCTTCATTTATCCTCCACTGCAATTTAGTTTCAAACGAATTATTACTACTCTTATACCTGGAGTCTATTTAGTACCGGATCCAACAAATCGATCACAGTTCATGAACATAGCGCAGCTACCAATTAGTGACTATACAGACTACACTACTAAAAGGTCTTCGTTGTCATCCTAGATGAAGAAGAAATGAATGATAGAACGGGAAAATGTATCACACAAGACAAATTAACGAAACAACACCGCTTACTGTAATTTGAAGAAACTGGTTTGATATATTCTAACAATAGTAGTCATTTTTCGCTCAATTAACAATAAAATGCAAAAGTGGTTACTTTGAAGACAAAAAAATCAAACCTTTTACTTCAATACTGATGTTTTAGTCCTTGTGTACATGAAAACAGAGATGTAGTGAGTAAAAAAAACTCCACCTGATTATAAAAGATACACGTAAGTGTATTCTTTTGAATGAATACATACATTCAAAATTCAAAAAAAAAGAAGAAAAAAGTACCCTGTTTTATTCATGATTCAAGTGTTTCGTGCCTTATAAATAATTTTGAACAAAGAAATTTACATTAAGAGCGGTAGTGATGATATATGTCTCGTGTTTAATCACGTCTGACTTTTGCTCATCTGAATACCAGAGTTTACAAGTAATGGATTACAGTCATATATACTATGCTCACTCAGCCACTCACTCCACATAAATTATTTTTCTCAAATCTGATCACCTTTTAACTGCAAGGTTATTCATCAAGTATCAAACAAAAAAATTTTATTAAAATGAATCTCGACAATTAATTCATTTCAAAGCCGATGGCTAACATGCTATTATTGGTAAAAGAAAAAAAAAAGAAGTAATTAAACGTCGACTACTCATTTTTTTAATATAATTTATTAGTGTTGTAGTAAAAATATAACAAAAATTGCTTATAATGTAAACAGATCGAAGAAAAGATGCAAGAATTAATATAAATTTTCAGATAAAAATATCGAATTTGGATAGAGAAATCAATTATACTATGATAAGTAATTTTCACAATTTGAGCACAACTCAGGCTCAAAGACAGGGATAATTATTTATATTTAAGATATAGTAGAGGGCTGTCTGATGCGTGACCGTATTTTCCGTATCAAGAAACACAAGCCAGCATAAATAAACTTAACGAGGTAAACGAACATTAAAGAAATTAAGAAAGGTAAAAACCGTGTGAAGTATGGTGCTAGTATAGTAGAGTAGTCAGTCTACTGTTAATTTTACAAGTGCCGTCGATATGAGCGTTAGTCATACGAAGCAATTCGAAAAAATTTAGTGAATCAAGACACTTTGCCAGTTCTGTTAAGTTTTCTGTAGAAAACGCTATTCATCATGTAGGCACGCAGTACATGAGTGATCTCTCCTGCAGAACGAGTCATTCGAGCATCTCGTTGACTTCATTCACCTTATCGCCAGTTTTGACCTCATCGACTGCCTGAATTTTTATCGAAAGTCTCTCTGCTTGAACTTAAGTACTTGCACTGCCAAAACAGAGATGAAATGGAAAAAAACTACTGTTTGCCCTTTCTCTCGCTCACTGCTTGAAAGAAAATTACGATCATAAGAGTGAACATTTTTTTATTTCATTCTCTCCACGTCCTCGTAGAATTCTTACCGAAATGACATTTCGGTAGTTGCTAGAAGCCTTCTAACAACTGTATTCATTTACAAACAATACGGCATTTGTCTCGCGACAAATCAGAAGTAAACGTGAAATTTAGACTTTCCTCATATAGTGCGATTTTTTTTGAGGAATATTATATTAAATATTGTCAACTGTTTAAAATTATTTTTATCATCTTTATGTATTGTGAAATCGACATATGACTTTTCACAAGAGCAACGCAACCAACAATCAACTTGATTTTACATTAACAATAAGAAAAGTAAGCTAAATTGATTTTGAAGGTGAAAGTATGTTTATTGAAATGGTAAATTATTTTCTTTTTTAAGTGCACTAAGACACTTGTACAATTTCTGTGTTGGTAATTGAATTTTACTACGAGGTAAATCTGAATAAAATCAACAAAAAGAAAAAATTGAAACTGAAGTATGCCGCTTTTTATCGAAAAAAAATGTACAATTACACCACACATAGATTGAATAATATTCACCTCTACCTTTCCAAGCTTACAGATGAAAATCAGCATTACGTGTTGATATTTTAAGTATGATGAGTAGAGAGTGACAAACACCTACATGATAGTTTTTCAATTTTTTAAAAATTCGAGAAAGACTGTTTTTTATAATTCATTCTGAGAAAGAAAAAATCTCACTAACGTTATGTACTTTCGACAGTTGTCACAAGAAGTTCAGTCCAGAAGGATAGTGATGTTGACACGAGGTATGTATAATTAAGAAATAACTACTACAGTTGAATGTAATCGATAGCTATGATCAGGAAAGCAAAAACTTACGAGCATTGTACTATTGTCTAGTAGATAATCATGATCTTGACTACAATCATCCATTTCAAAAAATTGATCTTCCCATCTTAATGTCGATTCTATAGAGTCGTGATCGAGGCAATCGAGACGATAAAGCGGATTCTAAAAACAACAAAAGAAGGAAATTAGAAGCGCCAAAATTGTACATAAAAGAAGATGATACTCTAACTTTGTTGAAATTAACCTTTGATGAATGTCGCCAGTAACTGCCTGAGTAAACGTATATGTATGCACGTATTTCATTTGCGTAATGACGCCGGTATGTGCACTTTTTTTTTCAGCAACTGAATTCCCTTGTAAGCTCTTGCCTAACTTACAAGCAAATGATTTTTCTTTCATTTAATAGGTACTTGTTTAAGTATTTATGTTATATGACGCTCACAAGTGATGCAAGTGCTTGTCTCAGTAAAACGGCAAGCACTTACCATTATTTTTAAGTTAATATTATGCCAATACTTGCTCACTGTAGCCTAATATTTATTTTGTTAACTTGCTTTATTCCATGCTATAAGATCTCAATATTAAAGGGATATTATAAATTCTGACGTTCGACATAAGCATGTATGTTTTCGTATGATATTCAAGGCAATAGGGCGTTACAAACGATCCCAGCTGGTTTATTCCCAACAGTTACTGATATGTGTCGACTCAGGTCTCAAGGCAAAACAGACTGCTGATAAGTAATGAATAAGAAAAAACCACGTGGTAAGACAAAAAGAGATCGTAGACAAAAGCGAAAGATACACTTTTAACAAAACAAAATAAGAGAAAATTTTTTATATAATAATATATATGCATGAAAAGAACATACAAGGTTGCTGTATAGTTCAATTCAACAATTTCTTAAAAATTTGGAACTGCTTTTAGCAGAGTACTCAAGGTCCACGTACTTATTTTTCCAATTGCCAAACTACTTTGTAGTATTGAAACTAAGTAATCAACTACTTGGATTAAGTACGTTCAGCCTCTACATGAAGAGAACTGATGCTAGCGACACTGAAAAGAAGTCAATTGTGGAAACTTTAAATAAAATCAGTTTTTTAACTTTAGAAAAAAGAGCTCGGTATTTTTCTAAATCTACTAAATAAATTGTCGTCTGATCCAACTTGCCTCTAGACTTTTTCTGTCTGCTAAAGGTTATATATACAGATTCTAATCTGACAGTTTCAGTCCAAAAGAATGTTTCGTTAAAAAATGATGAAAATGTCCGGAAAAAGTTCGTTCTGTTGGAAAATGTCCCTTCCCACAGGTGTGAGAAACCACCGTACCGTTGTTTTAAAATCTTTTAACGTGATATTCGTCATCAAGAATTCAAGTTGCACTAGCGTTGAACGTTTCAAACGATTAATGTAAAGTCGACGTAAACGTGGTACTTTCCCCAACGAAGTACCCCTCACTCAGTTTGACAATGGAGTCTATTGATTAAGATAATTTAATTATCTAACTGTCTTCTAATTGATCGATTGCAGGCAAGATAATCTCGAACCGCTAGATAATTGCATTAGATCCATGGAGTGTCGAAGCGAAAACGCTATCGAGGGCCCGAAAGTCTCATTCCCCTGCAAACAAATAAATACACCGCCCAATAGGGCTTACCATATTAATTCTAACGCACTATTTTCGTTTGATATTAACTTCTATATTCGCGTGGAAAAATGCTGAAAGAAAAAGGCCATTTTTCTTGTAAAATTTTTCCCATGAATGGGTCCTGAGTTTTGAATTTTTCTTACATATAGTAATAGTACTCTGATACTACTGTCGAGTAGGCCTTCTACTAATAGTTCGACTCTGAACTTCATTTCGCTATGAATATAATCGATCAATACCGACGGTAGTTTGTGATCAAAATCGAAATGTTGGCTTCCTCATGATTATCAACCAACAGGCACAAAACATTGACTATAGCGCCATTTTTATCATTACAGTCTATAGTTTGTCCTTCTCTGTTGACAAACCTTATTTTCCTAACATTGTTCTGTTACTCCGAAAATTTTCAAATCCTTGATTAATGTTTGATGTTCTTTCTAATAAGAACGTGTCCAAGTTTGCCAATAAAGACACTGTATTCGATAACTCATGGTTCTAAGGACTAGATTATTTTGCGTAAAATCGATCAACAGAGGACAATTAGAAAATTAAATTATCTCAATCACTTTCAAATTGAGTGAGAGCGACATTTTTATGATCTTATTAAAGAGAAAAAAAGTTTTCCAAAAAAGAATAAGCTATAGCACGACTTTCTGCAATAAGCACTCGATGTACATGAATCTTTTTAGTTTGAAGTAATATTTTCCGTTTCCAGCCATTTTTAGTGTTGAAAACCAGTTTATCCGTGGTTTAAACAGTAGTTAATTTTCAACCATTTTTCTGTTCTGTTTATGACACCACATCTGATTTTACCCGTTGTAAACTCATGCACAGATTAAACAGGTTCTTAGTTTGTTTAAGAGCTAGCAGCAGCACGGAAGGACACAACTGTCACATTCCACAGAATAAGAAATTAGAATTGCTATTAGAATGTTACCTGATAATTATCCCAGCACGGTTCAGATCCTTCCGTGGTTGCAGAACTTTTTTCAATTGCATTCATCATTTCACCAACTAAAACAAAGATATGAAAAGTTATTGATAAACACTTTTTGTATGGAATAAAGAATTGTAATAGTTTGGCTGATGGAAATTAGACTTTTGTCAATATTCATTTTAAAAAGATAAAATTATATTCACTATGATCTATGGGCTAGTTTCTCTTAACTTCAGAGTAGAGTACACTAGAAATTATCCGTGCTTTCTAAATAACGTGCAAAGAAAATAATTGAAATAATTATTTTATCTTACCATCAGAATTTTCACAGCTATCTCGAGTTTTTAATTTCAATACTTGATCATGTTGAACAGCTTCCGATACTGATGTATCTATGAAATGAAAATAAAAACGAATCATAAATTTAATTAAATAACACATATGATTTACATATTTGAACAAACAAACAATAGAATAGTAGTTGAATAATCGAGATGTTAAATGCAATCGGAGAAGAACGCTGCATTAATCATAAGATCAGTTTATTCTTGTTTTGAAACGTCAGAAAGTAATGATGACTTTCCTTTTTAGCGAATGAAGGGAACTTCTTGTAGTCGTCAATGATCGATTGTATGAAAAACTTCACGCATCCAGTTTTATAAGGATATATACTATTAAATCCTATAGGGAAACTATCATTAATATCAGAGCTGGACAAGTCAGGACTTTTTCAAGTCTCAAGTCAAATCAACGAAAAACTTCTCCAAGTCAGTCAACTCAAGTCAAGTCACACTTGACTTGACTTGCCCAGCTCTGATTAATATACAAAACAGTTGAGTTAACTGTTGCTAAAAATTCAATGAGAAGAGCTACTAATTCTGTTATTCGAGCTTGCTATACGAAGTACTGGAAAAGTAGCTACTGAGATTTGATATAAGATCATAATATGGGACACACTCGTACTGTATGTGGTAGTAATGAACAAGAATTAGTGAGTAGATAGAATAATAAATAGAACGACATGTCGGTCTGTTTTGTCACAGAGTGCACTGTACATTTCAAAATAGAAGACGAATAACCAGACGGCAGATTTTGAACACATTTTCATCAGAAACAGATTGAAAGTTGTAGGTTTTACTATTCGATAGATAAGGCTTTCAAGTACCTTTTCATACAATAGTAAGTTTGAAGACCGTTTTTATAAACTAGACTTATTAGGGATCTACGAAAAATCATGGCATAGCGCAAGTACTGGAAGGACGAATATTCTGATTTCGTTCATGGGTAGATAGCTCAAAGAGGGTCAGGTAAGACATTCATTCTCATTCGTCTAGATTCGACATCGGATCTTCAGAACTGGTCTTCACTACTGTGAGGTAGCCTCGAAAACACACGCAACATAAGTTAGCGAATGGGATGACCAGATTTCTTATGTGGAAAAACTTCGAAAATCTAATAAACATAACCGATTTTTAGGTTAGTTTCAACGAGAACTGGAAAATTTATATCTCATTCAGAAATCACTGGAACAAACTAATGTTGCCATCACGTTCGATAGCTCATGTTTTATATGTTTTCGAGATTTCCAGCGGCTACATGAATTTTTGGACTGTTGTGCACCCGCGGTAAAAATGTGCTCCTCCTGAAAGATAAATGAAGGTATGGATTTCGCATGTTTGTCTAGAGAACGATTTGGCAATTCGACTCCGTGTATGAGGGAAAAAAAATTCAAATTCCGCCGTAGACTGGTAATCTGGTCTTTCAAAGATCTGTCGGGTGCACTATATGTAGGCAAAGATCGGATCTTGATTCCCACATAAATTCTTATCCCTATATATCTACAAGATTTTGAAACTGGAAACCCCTAGCTTGTTTCCCTAGCTTGTTTCTATCAAAAGTTATGAAAAAACAATCGTCTTTCTCTATTTTGAACGGATAGCAGTTGAGTAGTAGTTGGATAGCATCTTTAATCTTCATTCCGATCTTCAAGATAATTTTGACCTAAAACACTGCGGTCTATCAGCTGAAATTATAAAGAATAATATGCAAGAGCAGAAATTACACTAAGATCCTAGATCATAGTATGTTCAATATTCCTGAAATTTTAAAATTTTGCATAGCATGTTCCAGAGACTTCGCATTGTATAGAACAGGAGAAAAAGGGGTAAAAAAATACATACCATGTGTATACGTTTTCAAAAAATCTCGCATCTGGCGAAGTTCAGTGCATAAAGTCGGGCGGGCGAAGTGAAAATGACTATGATCTTTTCTCTGTCGATTCGAAATTTTATTAAGTGTATAGAAGAACATATAGACATTTATAGAGAACGTAGGATAATTTTTACTTCTACCGCTAGGCTTCATCCGCTTCCGAATTTTATTGGAGATGCATATACATATATAAAGAAAAAGAAAACATATAAGGAGCAGTGTTTAAGCAGCTGTTTAGGATGTTCTAGCATATGCCATGATCTCAAATATATGCATAAGTAAAAGTAGGTGTCATTTCTCAAGCAATAACGACAGCGAGGAATCAAGCTATACTTTTGCCTAAGTAAAAATTCCCAATGGACGAGAATGGCAAATATTATTTATAATAACTTTGATCTACTTTCAGCTAAATAAACTATACAGTTTCTTATTTCATAGACACTGATTCAATTGTCAGAGATCTATAACACACCTACAACTTTTTAATTTAACTTACCAATATTTGAATTTGCCCGATTTTCAATCACTTTATGATCAATAATCATTTCTTCTACTAATTTATCATTCGATATTGAAGAATGAAATGTTGATACTTTTGCATTGATTATTGAAGCATCATCCGATATTAAGCCACCTGTTGTTGTTTGTTCAATATCTGACGAATAACCGGTCGTTGTAGTTGTTGTTGTGTTATTTGTTGTTGTATATCGATTATAGAAGTTTTGCTCGCGCAACTGATTATTACTATTGACAATAATTATTGTCTGATGGTGTTGGTATCGATGATTCTGATCCGAATGTATACCACCACCATACTCAGAATCCACATCGTTTTCACTTTTCTCAGGATCTGTATATTCGGCTGAGGCATCATAAGAATGAGATATACATCGATGTTTCATTGCTGTTTTCGGTTGTTGAACTTTATGTTCTGGACTGTCTTGCTCGGGTGATGTTGTACTCGATGTTTCAGCTCCATCCACTTTCCCCGCTGTTGATGTTACGATTCGATGTGGAATAAATCTACTTGTTTTAGTCGAACGAAAAAATCGTTTGCGAAAACGTGATGTATGGTTATTTTTATGGATATTCGTTTTTATCGTTATTGTTGGTTTTAAATTTTTTGTTTCATCTAGGCACGTATATTTTTTATCATAAATTAACAACGATGGTGGTGATTGTGCTTTTGTATCATCTAATAATAACGGTAGTGTGACGTTTTTTTCTTGTTTAGTATCCAATATCGGTTGTTTTTGTTGTTGTTGTATTTCTTCTGTAGCACTTAAATCCCCTGTATTTGAACAAGTATCATATGCACTTGTTATACTATGTCTCCATGATGTTAGTTGTTGTTCATTAAAAACAGGTAAAGACATTGTTGGCAATGGTGAATATAAAATAATTTTTGAACGTATTGAATAGTCACTAAATGCTTTTCGGGCGTTTAACAATGAATATGAATTCGGCTGATTGACATTCATAATTGTTGATGGTTGACAATTGACTAATGTCGACGAGCATGTTCTTGTTTTTATCATCTCCTCATGTTTTAACGATAATTGCCCATCATCATCACTTGCGTAACCAACATCAAGTTTAGACGACGTCTTTTTTCTATTTGCTGCACCATTTGAGTGACAACTACTACTTCTGCTACTTTTATTACTATTGTCAATACTAGTTAATGAATAATATAACGAATGAATACCACCTGATAAAGGATTTTCTCCAGTTGTAGCAGTAAGTGATGGAGAATCAGATGATGACATAGATTTTGTTAGTGGATTTCGACTACGGCGTTTGGCTTTTCGTATTAAACGAATTGAAAATGACGGACGCTCCAGTGGTGATTTTGAATTTAATAATAACAGAGAGGACGATGAACGACGTTTACGATTTGTCAGTTTTTGAGTTAGATCAAGACTATCGGTACTAAAACGTCTAATTGGCAGCTGTGTATTATCGTCTACGTTATTAACTAATAGAAATTGTTTATCAGATGATGAAGAAGATGATGGTGAAATGTAAATATCCTCGGCAGTAATAGGAATTTTTTCGTATTCGGTATAATGAAACGGAATAACGTCTAAATCGGAGGAATTCGATTGTTCACTATCGGAATTCGATGATAATATATTATCGTTTTCGGATATACGAGATAGATTTGTATTGTGTGAATATGAATCATTCAACTAAAAAGAGATTATAAAAGATTTAAATAGACGTATACAAAATTTCATTTAAAAACTGGTTTTTAAACGCTAGTGCTAGTTTTACTAAATCACCGTATCATAATAAAATAAAAACTATGTTTGAACCTTGACTACTACCATGTGTAAGGTTTTGTTATTAAATGAACGATTATGTACTATTTCCTTCAAGTTTCTGTAATGTTTCATTTTGATAATTAGCAGCTCATTTATGAACTGAGAAAAATATTGAAGATGTCATTTAAAATTTACTATAATTGTTCTCGTTTGTTTTCCATCTTAATTAACATACACTCACTGTTGTTAAAATACGCCCACAATCAAGTCATCACAATTATAATCACTACATGATAATTGTACATAGTACATACATACAATAGATTGAACACATTTGAACAAAAAAAGTAACATGTTTTTTTACTCTCACAACCCATTTATCTTTGATCAGTTGACCCTATCAAATCCAAAAGATCATTTGATCTATAAACGAAAATATTTTTCATTGTACAACAAGTGTCATCTCGAAAAAATATTTTTAATTTCCTTTTTTTAATAAACAATGGAAAACCATGTGGATTAGTATAGATTATTAATTATCACTGATGATCACTGATGAGAAATAATTGACAATACACAAACACATATTTTCTATTGTATGTCTACTAAAAAAAGAAAATTCAGTGGTTCACAGAGATCAGACTTGTATTGTAATTGAACATACATTATTTTATATTAAAAATCTATCTTTCATATAAAATATACGGTCAAGAATAATATTTCTATGAGTTTCCTGACAGGATCCGAGATATATCCTACTAGGATTTCGCCTTAATCTCTTAGGATTCTAACAAAATTCTAATGAAATCTGGGATTTTCTAAGTTTCTGTTAAGATCCTAAACAAACTTAAGCGAAATCCTAGTAGGATCCTAGCATTTTAGACTCCTGCTAGGAAATTATAAGGTGGATCCTAAATGTTAGGATTCTGTAAGATCCCAATAGGAAATGCGTAGGATTTTGTCTAGAGATTAGAAGAATATTCATTCGATATACACATCAAGGTTATAAGAAACAAAAATTTTCATTTTCTAATCATAAAGAAAAAAGAGGGAAATATATTTTGTCATCTACTGCGAAAGTTTAGTAGTTTTCCAATAATGTTCTTCTTACACCTGATTATCAATCAAAAAGAAAAAAAATGAAAAAATAATTCGTGATACAGGAAACATACTTTTTTTTTGTGGAAATGATGTAATGATGAACGCACAATCAATGGTCAGTTGAACATTTCTACAATTGAGTTGTTTCTCATTTTCTTTGTGTATGTGCGTTCACTATTTCAATTAAGGCATAAGGAAACTCTATCTTATATTTTCTCTCTCGCTAGATGTGATATAATCACTCGCATATTTCTCTAATTCTTATCTTTATGTTTGACAGCGTATATCACCGTATGATCAACTGTTGATCATCAATAATATCACAGCTAAAGTTCAAAAAAAAAAAAAGAGGAGAAATTTATAATCATTTTGTTGGCGACAATGTATTACAGAAACGCATCGTATGTGTTGCATGACAACATCATGATATAATAGACTCTCTAACATAAGTATTAATGGAGAAAAAAAAAAGAAGGAGAAATAATCTAATTCTATGAACTCTTATGTTTAAAATCAAAGCATTTTTTTTATTTTATTTAGTAGTTTAGATTGCATGCAAATGTCACAAATATCTGAGGATTAAACATTTGGTGTAAAACGTCAGATGATACACATTGTTACTACTTTCAAATCATCTCATATAACTTTAACAAAAAAGTGAACATTTAAAACGTTCTAAGATTTGTTTTACACTTGATTGTAATATAAATCACGTTTATAATTGTTTATCGTGCAATAATTCAATCAAGTATAGTTTTAAAGTATTTGAATTGTGTCTAGAGAGTGTTGATTATCCTCTCTATTCTCGACAACTTAACTCGAATTCAAACATAAAACTTAAATTTACAACATCAAAAGAAAGAAAGAATAATTTGTTGCATAATTTATACGACAACTGTTCAAAAAAAAAAAAATTTTTTTTTTTCTTTTTTTATTGCCAATATAGAAAGTTAAGATATAAAATATTAAAAAAAAAGAAACTATCAATTTTTCATAAATCATCCAATATGGTGCTAAAAAAAAAATTGCGTAAAATCAAAATCAATTACAAAAGAATGTTAGCATCTGATAAATAATTCAAATGAAGATATTTGCATAAATAGAGTAGATTACCTTGAAAAACACTCGACTGATGTAACAAAAAAAAGAGCAGGTTATTAATTTAAAACTCAGTGTATCCGCATACGTGTTGTCTATAGACAATTTCTTTTTCTAATTTATTCATCATTATATATAGGTACATTTAGAATATTTGTAAGATACATTAACAGAGTTAAAATTTGATACAACCTAATAGAAAGAGTTTTTCGAGTTGATTACACTAACATCGAATAATATTTTAGATCGGTACTTAACAATAGCTACTAACAATCAAAAAAGACGTCAGCACTTTTCTAACGATATAATTTAGTAAATCTACACGTAATCTCACATTGAAATTCAACTAACGTATAACTCGTATCGTTTAGGAGTATTTCAACTGTTAGTAGCTGTTGTTAAATGCTGATAGAAAATATTATTCGATTTTCGTAGAGTCAACTCGATAAACTCCATCTATTGGGACGTATCAGATTTTAATTCTTAACTGTTAGTGGGTGTTAACGTATTTTAGAAATATTCGTGTGTCTATAACATTCTTCATTACTTTTATATATTCAGACTCTTTAGTATTAATTAACATCAACTTGAAATCTTTTTTTTCTCTTTGTACGTATCTATATAAACATGTTGTGAACAATACTTAATTTCTTTTGGTGAATTGTTGCTATTATTCACTATTTTTCGAATCCATATTCATCACCATTTAGTTAAAAATTTAATTTCAGTTTATAATAATAAAATAATTGAATAGACATAAAGAAAAAACCAACATCCAAAAGTTGACTTAAAACAGAAAATAGTAATAGAAAAAAAGAGAGAAAGAAAATGGAGAAGGTCAGTAATTATTTCGTACATATGTATACAAGGCTTTTTTTTCTAGTAATATATACATCAATGATTTTTGTACTGTTCAATTTAATATTTATACGGACAATATCAGAGTTTACATAGATATATATACATGACTAGCAGGAGGCAATAGATTCCATATTAAACAAAAGATAACTGAGATATATGAACAGACGTAATATAAATTCTAATCGTACACAACAAACAAGAAGTTAATTCGACTATAGATTACATATATAAAACCGTTTTTCTTTTTCTTTTTTTTTTTTTATTTAAATAAACAATGCCTTTGGGTAATATTTCTTAACCAACACGATAATGACAAACGAGTGTATATATATATATATATGTATACATTTATGTTAAAAAGAGTATTTTATAAATTTCGGAAACGGACAATAATAGCTATGCACGATAGACCCGTAGGCATTTTAACCTATCCAAAGTTATATTTGGACAATGGATACTTTTTTTTTTCTTCTTCTATTCGACAAGAAACAGGAAATTTTAGCTCAACTATTCTTATAGAGAATAAGCAGAAGAAGAAAAAAAAAAAAGATAGTATGAAAAAAGAAACTACTTACTTCTATCTACGTTTAAAAATTGAATCTATTTAAAAAAAAAAAATGAACAGTTATATATAGTTCATTTATCTTCTGTCTTCTGTATCAATGATGAGGATCGTTTGTTTAATTTCTCACATGACAATTTCTATAGTAGTATGCGCATAGTTTGATCAAACACGAAAACAATCATTGTCTTATTTACTAAACTTCTTTAACAAAAAAAAAAGAGAAAAACTGTTAGTTATAAGACAAACTTTTCTTATACCATTGTTGATTGAGAGAATGAATCCTTATAAATAATATAGAACGGATATTTGAACAACATATATCTCCTTAGGAACTACACGTAGACATTGACATATGTTTACTCTTTGAATATGAATATTGTTTAGTATATTTCGTTTTATAAGCGGAGATTTAACTAAAATACAAATAAAAGTCTTCCATTTTTAATACTTCAGTAAATATGACTCTTTTCCAATTGTACAATTTAGATACATCATATTTTGTGGTAACTATCATTGTTTTATATTAATACACAAAAGAAGAAAATATAAAAAAAAAAGTCTGACATATGGATGTGAGAAAGACAATCAGACATATGACGCATATCGATGACGTTTATGACTTTCACGTGGATGAACACAAAAATTAGAAATATAAAAAATTAAATTAATCATTTGAACAATGGACAAAGAGAGAAGGGTATACAAATATGTTACATTTCATTTTTATCGACTCCATCAAGCGATATAATTATAAATTATGGACAAACGGATGTTTAAACAAAAGGGAAAAAACTTAGAATAAAAAAATATGTCAATCTTTCGTACTCGAAACTTCATATAATTTACAATAAGAAAAACCTGAAAATATTTTGTGCATACATTAGAAAATTTGGTGCTCACTTTGTATTGAACCAGATTAGATGCCAGGTGCAAAATTTATCGATGAATCCAACAGTGGATTCCTTTTAATTTCATTTTTAACTTTGACATCGACATAATCTATGTGCTTTTTATCTCTAAATTTTATTTTTCTCATTGATTGGAAATGAGAAAAATAAAATTTAGAAAATTTGCTCATTTTTAAAGAAGTGAACAAATTCTTAGATCGAAAAAACAAAACTGACCTATTTCACTTGTTTTGCTTCCTTTGTATTATCTCCGAGAAAAATAAATATCCTCATAAACAAATGGTCACATCACAGTAGATATCGTACAATGGTTTGGCGTAATCTTATAACAGATTACATGTGACAGCTTTAACATGTAGGAGGAGTTTTCCCTTTGAGATTCAAAGGTCTACACTGACAAGCTATTTATTCAGCCTTATATATATTTGTATGATTAATAGGTTATAATTGAAAGACTCACTATTTGTCTGTTCGATAATCGAGATATAGATTATGTAATAAATAAATCGTTTTTTTTTTTTAAAAACTATAAAATCAATCAATAACGGTACCATATGTATTTATTATCCGATAAATAGCGATTATCAAAGTAGAAAAAGAACTAATGATAATCATATAAACTTCAGAATATATATCTTGTTATTTTTCCCTTATTATATTCAATTCATAGACATTTTGATTTTTTTTTGTTCTATAATCTATTGATATGTTTATATTTAATGTCAAGGTGTGTGTATGTATGTGTGTACCTCTAACAAACATGTCTTCAACATACTTAGAAAATTAAGATCTCTATATGTATGTGTACGAGTATAGATCATATATATCTAACGAGTAAATGAATAAGAATGAATGGCATACAATTTTCTGCTTCTTAACATTTGTAATTAATCAGTGTCTACGTTTATGCGATAGAAAAGACTCAAACTAAATAATAATTTTTTATGGTCAATTTCAATGTTGTTTATAACTGAAACAAAGAACTTTAACAATTAACATGTGTTTAATTCAAGGAACAATATTGTTATATAAAACAATTTTATCCAAGTCTAATTAATTATTGTTTCTATTTGACTTTAATACAGTGATTATTTTATTAAGACGATTTAATACATACACGTTAGATTAATTTATCGTTTGTATTTTTTTTTTAATGTTCGAAAAAACTTAATATATTGCCGTACACAACATCTCCCTGTGATAACACAGAAACGACATTGCTTTATCTGTGACAAAAAATAATTCAGAAAACGGCCTGTTCAGGCGTACCAGTCTGCAAAACATAAGTTCGTAACGTTTTGTCATAACTCTTCAGCCAAGAAACATACAGAGTTGGGAAACATCTTGTTTTTTAGCTTAAAGATTTTTCTTTCAAATGGCAAAGTCTAACTCTACTCCAAACATCTGCTAACAGTTCGTGCCAATAAGGCCTTTTTGTACGAAAGTGGTGTATACGAAAAACATTACGTCACTTAGACTAGTCTGCTGCTAGATCTTACTTAAGTACCATTTATAACAAACGTTTTTAAGCTACAAAATGAGACGTTTTTTTTTCTCCAACTCTGTACATTACTCGGCTAAAGAGCCATGACTTTCACAAAACGTTACGAACGTTGGAACTGAACAAGTCCAAAAGTGCTTTCTTTTTGACCCGACAAGGTAATATAATTCGTAGTATAAAACTACGGATTAAATAACCGAAACGATATGGGAACCAAGATTATTCTATTTCTAAGTTTGAACTAAATGATTTTATACATTAATGATTCTTAGTATCCTTCTTGTTGTCCTTTTCAAAATGATATTCAAGACAATGACAAAGTCGGGGAAAGGATAACTTGAAAGAAAAAAAAAAAACTGTGTATAGTTGAGACTCCTTCAGAAATAAACACAAACAATAGTGTAATTTCGACAATGTCATATACTGTTATGCTCAAGATCGTCTATAAAAATAACATTAAATATACTCCTGACGTGAGTGACAATGGAATAAGAAGAAGAAAAAAAATTATGTAAAACTTGTTGAAAAACATTTCACATAATTTTCAAAACAAAATTTAACTCTTCAGACAGACAATGCAACCTGACCAATTCTCAAGTGACTAACTCAAGAATGTTGCAAAAAAAAAAATTTAACTTTTGATAATTTTTATTGTGTAACTGACCAAAACTTATTCAAGCAATATAGAAGACATAAAAACAAGAGGAAAGTGAACAAAAAATACGTCAATCTATTATCAATATAGAGTGGAGGAAAAAAATTGAAAATAATGAATTTTGCATAACCAGAACTATTCACAATGATACTCTTTGGCTTTATGATAGTGTCTTTCTTAAAATTATGAAGAAAAAGTAAGTTTAGTAAAACGTTATTACCTTGTAAAATTGTAAAAATGATCAGTAGATAATATTACTGAGTTAGTTGGCAGGAAAAAAAGTTTACTTTTTTTAAGTCTCTTGTTTAGAATTCAACTCACGTAATTATAATGGTCAGTTAACTTGCGACAATCAATTTTTTTCCTTTCTCCAACTCTCAGAAATTGTGCTATATATAGGTGAACGAATACAATGAGAACGGTATTTTTTTGTTCTTTCTTCGAACGTTTTTTTTTTTTTTTGTTATTGTTAAAAGGGAGACGTATCTAACAAGCTGATGAACATTCAAAAAAAAAACAAAAAAAACCGGACGAAATGACTTATGATCATGGCATTTATTGAACGAAGAAAAAAAAATACACGACAGTATTCGCTATGCGTGTGTGTGTGGTGTGTATGTTTGTATAATACAAATGTTTATGGAACTCTCATATACAAGTAAAAGAAAAAAGAAAAGTTGATTATTCTCGATTATAACTGAAAGAAATGAACAAATCTTACTTGTTCAAGTGTCTATAAAAATTAAAAGTCTATTTAGAAATGTAATTAACTTTGGTCTATAGTTGATGATTACCAAAATCTTGTTTGATTAGTAATTCTATTTATGTATAAGGTCATCTTAACAAATGAGTTAAAAAAAAGAAAGAAGAAAAACCTAATACAAACAATGATCAAATAATCTCAACAATTCCAGACATCGAATCAGAATAAAAAGCAATGGTTCTGTTCATGATTTTGTTAGACGTATAAAAGATACCTGATGAGAATAAGATCTTTACATTATATTTTAAATCAAATAAGAAATTATTCCTAATAATTAAAAATTTCATTGTAGAATTGAGTACTCGATATTTTGAGAAAAGAAAAAAAAAATAACTTGAAACCATTTAGAGTAAATCTGACAACTAACATTTTAGGTGACATATGACCTCGTAGAAATATCAAATAATTGTTATAACAAAAAATGTCATGTTATATATATGTCATTTTACATTCAAATATAGAGAAACAAAGATGATTTCGTTGTTATTTCACATCATAAATATCGGTCAATTTTTCATTAACTATGATTTTAAATGATGATATTCTTCATGTATATATGATTATTTGTAACTTATCATTAGTGTATAAAAAAAAAGAATATTTAATAAAACTATACATACTCTCAAAAATTTTAATCGTTCTTCAAGTTTGCATTGTATTTCAACTGAATTAAGCCATGCTTGATGCCAACGATTTTCAAGATCACTAGCCAAATTTAAGGGTACTTGTTCACAGCCATCATTTTTTAAACGATCACATATTTGAATGATAGATGATACACGACTATTTCGAGATTTAATTTCACTTTGTAGATTCTAGAAAAAAGAAACAAAAAGAAGACAAACATCATTATTATCTTCAAATTACACTATGTATTATTCTATCTATTAACTGTTCAAGTACAGATACTTAAAGATCATCGAGATACATTGTACGACACGTGAACGTTAATCAGTCACAGCTGTTATAACAGAATCATTGTCAAATAAAAACCCCATGTGCTCATCTAATGTAAGATTTTTTTTTATCAATTAAAAATTTCAAAAAAAGAGAAAGAAAAGATTGCCGATCACTATCATCTTTGCTATTATAGTGGATAAAATATCTTTTATCAATGAAGAGAAAGTTTTCACATACTAGCCTATAAATTGTTTTTTATCTACTTTGACGATTAGGTTCCGAAAATGAACGTGTACACACGCACTTTTTGTCAAATCGATTTTAAATTTTATCCATAATTTTTGGCACGTCATTAGTTTATTATCGTTAAAGCGGATATGAGACGGTAGAGATGAAAACATAAAATCACCTTTTCTGTTCAAATTAATTAATTAACACGGAATATATTTATGATAAACAACAAAGTGAACGGTAGATTAAATGATGATTTTATTCGAAGAAGAAAAGGTTTACCGTCCCTATTTACATTTGTACTCACACTCTCTTTCTTTTTACTAAATCTTGATGAAATTATTAAACTCTTAACAATAGAGCTTTACGATTTAAGCGTTTATCCCTTCATTTACATCTCTCTCTCTCTCTCTGTTCCCCTCTGTTAAATCTATAATGGATACATATATACTTGCTCGTGCATTGTGTTACTTCTAGTTAGTTATCTTGACAAAGCTTCTCATTTAGAAATTATATAAAGAGTGGTAAAATTATATTTTTGTCTAAGAGGGAGTTACCCATACGATTTTGAATGTCAACAACATATCACCATTAAACTGTGAAATAAAAGTGAAATCGCAATCACAAACACTTTTAATTATAATATCACGTAACAATCGTCTGTCCGAAAAGAGAAAATGACAAAGCATTTGGAACTGATATCCATATGACATAGACTTGTATCATGGTAATGTAATAGATATAATAGTAACATGAATTTTGTCTAAACATCTCTCAAAAAAAGAAATATTTGATGGTAAAACATTCTCACCGCATGATATTTAATTTTTTCTTCCAATTGAGACAACTGTATATCTTTAATAAATTCTAGTTTCCAAAGTTCGTCTTCCGTTTGATTTAGCCAATTTTCAAACATTAATAATTCGTGATTAAGATCTGAATAAGAAATCATTACAGTTGGTAACATGACTCGATACCAATAGCCAAACTTTTCCTCCGGTATGTTTAGATACGTTGCTGATAGTGAAAATTCAAAGTGGTTCATAACTACTTAGTTATACACTACAATAGTGAATAACTTCATAAAATAGTTATGTCAAAAATTATATTCAGTTTTAATTCTATACTAAACCTTCTTTACGAATAGAGACCTGCAACCCGACTCGAACCCTAGGATTCGGTCGAGTTCGGGTTAAGATGCTGTCGGGTCAGGTCCGGGTTAAGATGTTGTAGGCTCGGGTCGGGTCGGATTCGGCTTGAACATTTCGTAATGTAAAATATAGATAATAATTTCAATTTTGTATTACTCGTTGAAAAGTTAACTATACCGGAATTCTCGGTTGAAATACTTATTTCAGAACAACTGCATTCACTAACGAGACAAGGTCTTCAGATGCACAACTCCGTTTTTAATGATATTATGCCAGTTAATAGAGGAAAGTGAGCTGATAAAAACCCTTAAACAAGGGCCCATATCAGTTCTTTCAAAAGTTATAATTTTTTTGTTCTGAAGGAACACTGTGTGTAGTAACAGTAATAATTCTGTAACCCAGTCAAAACAAAGAATTAAGAAGTGAAATTTTCTTTTGTACTTTCGCTAACAGTCTGCTAATATTACAGAAAATTTGAGCGTTATATCTTCCTAAATTCCCTTGTTATTGAACTTTTCTTCTTGAAGGAAAACAATGTTTTTCTATACCGCACAATTTTCAAAGATTTCTCTTTTATTAGAGATGATATTGCGAATTTAGAAGGATATATCGCCCAAATTTTCCGGAATATTAGCAGATTATTAGCGAAAGGCCACTCGTCTGTAATGCGATGCCTTCCGCCAAACAAATAGGTAAATAAAAAGACATAAACTTAAGAACGAAACAAAAGAGTAAAAATTTATCGGGTCGGGTCGAGTTCGAGTTAAGATGTTTTCGGGTCGGCATTTTGACAGCCGGGTCGGGTGAGGGTTACGTTTTCTTAACCCGTGCAAGTCTCTATTTACGAATACTACTGAATGTACGGAATATCTCTAGACAAAATCCTACGCACTTTCTGTCTATTTCGTACTAGAACCTTACAGGATCCACTTAATAACTTTCTAGCAGGATCCTACTAGGATTTTTTCTTAAGCTTGTTTAAGATCATAACAGAATCTTAGAAGATCCCATGACTTTCGGGTATACCAGATTTTATTAGGATTTTGTTAGAATCCTAAAAAACTAAAGTAAAATCCTAGTAGAATACTAGTAGGATATGTCTCGTCTGATCTGTTAAGAGATAATAAAATATTCTTACCGTTTAATATCTTATCAAAATCTTCATCCAGATATGATAATATAGCTAATTCAAGATCGTGCCATTGTGCATGTAATGTTTTCATTTTTGTCATGATTCCTGTTTTTAAATCTGGAAAACGTTGAACTAATTTTTCAGCATAATTTTCAAATGATTTAATACGTATTCTTCCTTGTTGATAAGTTTCCTCGTAATATTTCTAAAGAAATAGAAACTATGCAATACAAAAGCTCTCGATGTTCAGTTGCTAAAATTCGATTCAATCCTTGTTTTAAATATACACTGATAAGATCTACTCGGTATATGAAAGAACTCTGAAATAATACTATGCTGTTATGTTTGAAAAGTGCAGTTTTTACACTTATATTACTCTAAAACTTTTCAATGTTAAAGTCTCATAAATATATCTCCTTTAATTTTCTTTTGACTGATTGTGACGGTAAATGACTAGTATTTTTGATATCCAAAATGTTTAGGACTATTAGCGACAACTATGATATAGAGCAAAATAGATAAGCTCTAAGGTTAACAGCTAATTAAAACTTTGCTTATAAACGATTGCATACATACTTGACGTAGATATCGACTCAATGCATTCGATGAAAGTTCTGTAATTGTCTCATAAATTTTATCACACCAATGAACTAATTCACCAAATTGTTTTTCAAATTCTTTGTACGAAACATGATATAGATCATTAACTGAATTAAATGCATCTCCCGTTGAATTCTACAAACAAATAAGAAATAAATAAACTTTTTATCGTGTAAAATAAGAGGTTACTATCAAATTATACGATGTAGTATGTGCATATATGAAGGACAATTATGCGCAAATGAAATATATTCATATTAATATATACACATTAAAAAACGATGATATAATCTGACACGTACAGGAAAAAAAAATCTATAATAAACTATACCGTCCTAGAAATGCTGAGTTGAACATAATGCGAAAAAGAGAAAATATATACTATTTTGATGTGCTATAAGTTTCATATTAGCAGGTACGTTAGATACAAAGTAAAGCAATATTCATTTGTCGGTTACTTCAAAGCGAACATGACCAAAAGTTACAATGATCAAAAATGTAAGTATTTGTACGTTCAATTTTTTAATAATAAAAAGAAGAGCCCACAAAAGAGAAAAAAATTTCTCTCGTCGTGGTACAGTGCAGTCTCACATTCTACCTACAATATGAAATTTAAACGAGAACCAATTTAAAATTTGAACGATAGAAATTTTCTGGAAAACTATTGCGCGTTGACGCAACAGACACTATAGCATTTTGATAACTTTATAACGTAGAACAGGAGCCCTGACAGTTCCGGTTCAAAATTGAAATCGTTGGCACTCTTAAGTGAACACTTCTAACTATGCCCTGATGAATGTATTTGAGCCAGGCGCTTAACTGATGAATGGTACTTTGGCAATTCATTGCATTAGTTTGCATTTTTGTTTATACTAACTGACGATGCAACATTTAATGCAACTTGTCATGCATAACAAAAGAGTAATTTACTTCTCTAAGTATTTGTCTGAATCGAATCAAGTGAGATACCCGATGAGTACTTAAACAAGAATTTGGAAAGTAAAAACACTTACCAAGGTCTTGTTCTAGGCCTTACTAAGTGAGGAAACTTGTAGTATTTCTCAATTACTCGGCAACTAATCAAGTGCTTAGATCAAGTACATTCACCAGGATCTCCCCTCTTATACAATCTGCTCACGAAGCAGGTCAAAAACTTAAAATGAAGGCTCTGGGATATTTTTTGGATAACGTTAAAACGAAAGTTGATAGAGACTTACGATTTTCGCAGAAGACTAAGCGACGTTTTTTTAGTAAAGAGAAAAAACTCACGGATCTATTTTAAAGGTAGAACTTTGAAAGAATCTTTGAAAAACTCGTTCGAATTTAAAATATTTAAAATAGAAATATATTTTTCTTATAAGGGTAGATAGCCCAGAGTGTCTTCTAGAAAATGAGAGTCCTTCAGACTGTTCATCTGTTACTGTTTGAGCAAGGCATCGAAGTTCCAGAAATGGTGTAAGATAATCTGAGGGAAGCTCGATCACAACTGAAATATAGTATAGGTCATCGATTCCGCTGACGAGGGAACCTCTTGAGGTTATAAATCGCTTTTGAACTCGGACTACTTGTATCTTGTAGACCTCAGTGAGTAGTGAAATACCCTAAGTTGGTTCATCCCCATGGTGCTTTGTTGCTGAGATA